GAACAAGTTCTAGAAAAGTTATAAAAAAGGTGTATATGTATATAACTTAACTATAACTTTTGGAAATATTTTTGCAAATATTGAAATGGCCCTACTAATGGACTACTGAAAACTGCGAAGAAAAAATATATTATTTTTTCGCGGTTGTTGAAACGCACATATTGTGTTAAAGTTGGAAATCTATAATTTTAACCTTTTTATATATTTTTCTTAAAAATCGCAAATGGTTATTGATTTACATATGTATATCAAAAGGCAACATTATTCATTCAATTTTATGTAAAACTGAAGATTTTCCCAATTTAGATCTAAAATCTAAATTTATATTTTTGTGCTGATTTTAGTAAATGGATTTTATGCGTGAAATGTTGCATTCGAAACAAGCGGAAAAATGTGTTTTCGTAAATAAGACAATAGGCCCCATAGAGGCCCAAGTGTATTTCTTCGGATTTGATGTATATATGTACATTCTCCTTTCAAACTAACTAACAACTAACTCAATAACACAATATTGGCTATCGTATGATCCAAGGTCCAAAAATTGGTTTATATGTTCTCTAAAGCTTAACTAGAACTTATTCCAAAGGTAACTAATTCGAAGAAATATCATTGATTAAATAAAAACTTCCTGAACTATTACATACAACGAATTTCGACTCCACAGCTTTATGAACCAGTTCCGAAAATGAAACGAGTAAATGCTAAAGTTTTTCCTGTAATATTTCGAAATATTCAAATCGAAATTTTAGTAAAAAAAAAAAAATATTGCATATAAAATTTATTACAATTATAGTACATTTGTACATCATTTACATATTTGGATGATATTTGCACCAAGATTATTACTATGGGATAATATGCCAGACACAAATTTTCAGCTTTATTATTGGACATTTTGGTCATTCAAATGAGTGTAACTTTTCACCTATTGGTCGTAGCAAAAATTGTCCAAAGGAGTTCAGTTAGCAATTTCTTCATTGTTTCCAATTTTTTTTAAATTTGTATAAAAATGGGCCATTTTTTTGCTTAAAAGAAAGCTTATACAATTTCCTTAAAGGGTTGTATGGAAATGGGAAGCGAATGGGGTATATATCAAACAAATTATTTTTGAACTCAAGAATAAGATTTTTTTTCAATATTTGGCACTTAATTTTCCCCTATTTTTTCAAAATGGACAATCTCAGACCATTTCCTTTAAGAGCTTTGTGGTCACTTAGTGCCCACTTTAAAAAAAAATATGAAAAAAATTAAAAAAAAAAATACAAAAAATTTTTTGAAAACTATCTGAACTTTTGGACAATTTTTGCTAGGACCAATTGGTGAAAAATTACACTCATTTGAATAAAACCCTGTATGAGCAAAATGTGCAACTTTGACCCCCTCTAAGTCCGGCAGTTTTTGACCGATAGAGCTGACCTTCTATCCAATAGTACTAACCTTGGTGCAAATTTTGTCAAAATCGATTTTTTGACATAAAATTTCCCATATAAGTATTAATAAAAGAAACATTATTTTAGCACACTCGACACAAATTATGATTTAAAGGACAACACAAAAGAAAACAACATTTTTTTAAACTTTAATATAAAATTTTTTGTTTAAATAAAAATCAATTTAAATAAATCGCCTTTTATTTGCTACAAAATAAATATACAAAAATATATTATGATTTTGTTTAGATTTTAGTATAAACAGATAAAATTTGTTTTTCCATGTGGAACAAAAGCATTACGAAAATAAATCAATAATAAAATTGAACTGAAACTAACATTTTTATTTATTTTTTACAGAAAAAAATATATTTTTTTTAATAAAAAACACAATAAAATAAAACATATAGAGAAAATATATATAACTAAGCTGATAAGGTTTTTATTGTTGTATCGGATTTGGCAAAAAAAAAAATATGGAATAAAATTGTACTGTCTACAGAAAAAAAAAGAGTTTTAGAAAATAATCAAAATAAAACATGTTATATAAAAATAAAAACAAAATAAATATAATAATATAAAATAAAAGACATATGTATATACTAGTATATTTTTGGTGTAAAGGTTATAAAAATCTAAAAAAAACAAATATAATATTTATTTAATAAAACTAAACTAATTTAAACTACTACTCTACTCTGTGTAAAATTGATTGCAGGTTGGAATACTATTTTATTTAAATTTTGCACCAGCCTATTTACACTCAGTTGGATTTTCAGCAAAATATAACAAGTTAAAAGGAGTTTTCAAATATTGATAGATTCAACTGATTCAAATCTAAAAATATTTAAAAATACTTTCTGAGTGGGTTTTATTAGCTTGAAGGTTAAGTACGTACTCATGCCGATGCTGATGCTACCATATTGAAACAAACCATTTATTTCAAATATTTTTTTCAAATGCCTTTGAATACTTTAAATATATCTTTCTATAATTCTAAATATAAATTAAAACTAGAAAAATAAGTTTATAAAGTTTAATTTTACCACAAAATTTGTTTAACAGGATTACCAGGATAAAAAAGACTTTTAGATATTTTTTTTTTGTAATTTTATACAGAGCAAGATGTTTAACTAAATAACATCAAATTGACCTTCACTTAAAATTTAAATTCTATTTGTTTAAGTTTTGTAAAGACAACTGTATAAAAATTTCCATATTAATTACAAAGCAAAACCATTATTACCATTTCTTTTCATTTTTTCCAAGTTTGTTTTCATTTGCTTTCAAACCTTTGTCAGTCCTAATAAGGGAGCAATTTGAATGAATGACAGAAAAAAAGTTTAAATAGCAGGAAAACAAAAACCAAACACACACCACCATTTTTAGCTTTCGTATCATGAACATCATCATCGTTTTCAACTTCGTTGCTATCATTATCTTTATGGTCATCATAGCCAAAATCTTATAAGCCATCCAGTGAACCATCAGTCGACCAAGGACTGTGCTGCTTAATAATGAAAATTAAAACTATGCCAATGGCTTTAAGTGAACTTTGTCTAGAAAATCTAAAAATACAATTGTTTGAAGCCAACATTTGAACATTCCTAAGTCCCTGCCACCACACAAATGTGATTACATTAAACAGGATGAAGTAGCAGCAGTTAAACGCAAGAATTTTTCTAAATCACAAAACAATAGAATTTTATAAAAATCAACCGACCGTAGGAAGGGTCAAAAAGGTAGTGGAAATGACTGCAAGAAAAATCTGAATGCTAGAAATTGAAAATAATGAAAGCACTTCGTTGCGATTAAAAGGCAATGAAAAAGTTCATTTAAAGTATTAACCAAAAGCAGTGAGGAAAATTAACATAAGAACGCCAAAATTGGAATATTTAATACAATGGACTCACATACATATATACATACATTTGTATGTATGTACATATATCGTTAAAAATTTCTGATCTCTGATAAGTCTATTGCCGAGTTTAAAGTCTAAATTTCCAAATGTATTTTGTGGAGTTTTATTGAAAATTGAAGACAAAAGGAAAATTACCAAATTTTATAATTTAAACCTTGGCCTTAAAAATTAAATTAACGACTTTTTTATATAAATTTTTATACCGACAAGTTTCTATCCTTTTATTATTGAAATTTTGCAATATTAAAAGTTATTGGCTTGTAAAATACATGTTGTCGTAAATTTTTAGAACTTTATTGTTAAAAACATTAATTTTTTTAACATGAAATTCAAAAGGACGTAACAACAAATTAGTCATTCACACAAGTCAGAATGTCCTAAAAACCAACACAATAGACAATGTCTGGGGTCACATTTATATTCAAACATGTTTATGGATGTTGTAACGCCCTTTTGCATTTCAGGTGACGATATGCTCTTTTATAAATTTGCCACACTGCAATTAGTAGAACAACTAAAGAACAGAGAAACATAAAAACCGTCGACGACAAGTTTAATCGAAGTGAAAGGCAAATGACAAGAAGATATTATTTTCGTAACCAGACAATAAAAACAAAACAAATATTTTCAAATTTCTAACAATTAAAGGCGCAAATAAAACCACATTAAACCGGGTGGCTTAATAAAAACTAATTACGGAATTTCCTAAACCAAATCTAAGCATAACTCAACCATCTAACTAACCTACCATCTGACAAACTTCCTTATTTGTTTCAAAGTACACATTTATACATACATACATATGTATTTGTAGTATTTGTAACAAAAACAACAGCATCTGTAAAACAAACTAACAATAAACCGACCTACAATATTGGGAATGACAACAAATTTTAAACAGTGGTCTCTTTACCACTTGCTGTGGGTGTTTGAGGCATATACTGGTGATTTGCTTGTCTTTTGCTGATGCTGTTGTTTCTATTGTTGTTATTATGATTGTCCAGTAGGCTTAATTGAGGTTGGGATTGAGAACGCATTTTACTAGCGCCAACACTTGCTAATGGAGGTGGTGGAGCTTTACGTAATTTTGTTGGCTTGATGGGGCGTTTTGGTGGCAAGGGTGGTGGAGGCGGCGACAAAGATGAACGACAATTTAGAGAAGTGTCACTACTACGGCGTGAATCAAAGAATGATGTATTACTGTAAATAGCCTCCTCTTCGATGGTGGCATATATTTCTTCTGCAGTCTCATAGTACGAAGCTGCATTCATAGCTTGGGAATTGAATTGACGTTGTAACGAAGATGTGGAAGAGTCAATAGAGAAGGAAGAAGTGGAAGAGAAATGACCCAATGTATTTGTGGTAGTGTTTTGATAATTATTTGTACTATTGTGGGCTACAATTCCCGACATGGATGGAAACTTTAAACCGGTATAAGAGGGTGTAGGAGTTGGTGGAGGTGGCAGTGAGTTAAGGTCTTCCCTAATATCACTACCTTTACTTGTATGTTCTGCTGTATGAGAAGAAGTGGAAGTGGGAGCTGAGGTATTTGTAGGAATTGAAGAAGTTTTCGTGTTGTCTACGTGCTCAACTATAGGTGATTGTTCTTGCTGTTGTTGTGGTAGTTGTTCAATGGCTTCACTCACCACTATGCGTTGCTGATGCATGTGCAACTGTGGCGTCTGTTGCTGGACTTGATGATGTTGCAACTGCAGTTGCTGCTGTTGCGCCTGTGATATGATTACTTGGCCGGAAGAGGTTGTTCCCTGTGTTAGAACAGCTTGTGGCAACAACACATAACCACCACCCAGAGTAAATATGGGCTGACCGGCCGGTATGACATGAGCAGCACTGGGTTGTTGTGGCTGCGGTAGGCTGGCATACTGTACCGGCAAAATTTGAGCTGTGGGAAAGATTTGTGTTGGCGAGAGGGGATCATGGTGTGGTGTTATGGTTGATGCTGTTGTTGGCACTCTGGGCGCTGATAGTTCCAAACGTTGCTGATCCGCAGCATGGGAAGACATAGAAGTTTGGTTAGTAGTTAAATTATTAGAGGAATCACTGTCACAAGCGGAACTACTAAGGTCATTAACTATTGCTGTTGTGTCTTTATTCAAGGGAGTGGGGGAAGGAAAATCAGGACTTTGGTTCATTGGAGGCGTAATTGTATTGCTTGAAGTGAGGGGTGAGGATGGTGCTGGAGGTAGGGGTAAATCTAAATCTTCTGTATTATCTATAATAGGATTTACCAAATATTTAAAGCTCGTACTGCTGCTACTACTGCTGTACTGGCTACCTGGAACCGGAGGAGCTTGCTCTGGCGGCACTCCTAATTCTGGTACTTGCGTTTTACTACTCGTTCGACGTAATTGATTGCGCAGCTCATTTTCCTGCAACAATATGGTACGATGTTCTTCCTCGGAAACTAAAATATTATCTGGCGAATTTTCGTGAATAAAATCTGAAGGACGTCTTTGAGATGGTGGCACTTCGTCTATAGAAGGAGCAGCTATTAGCGGTGGAATTGATGGTAAGGGTGGTAGCACTTCCATATATTGCGTTTCTTCGTGAAAAGCGGAAATTAAGGAGGGTTGCATTTTTGGTGGAAGTTTTGGCATGGTTGCGAAATTAATCGGTGGCGGTGGTGGACTTTCTTTTGGTCTGGAAGGACTTCTTGGTATATTAACCCTTACGGGCAGTTTCGGGCTCGGAGAAGTGGACGGACCCGGTGTGGTAGGTCTAGATACTTGATGTATTTCATTAGTATTTGGATCATGTTCAAATACTGCAAAATCACCATGACCAACATCAGCATTTTGGAATGATTCTAATGCGAAATTTTTCACTAAATCTGCCTTTTTCACTTTAGGTTTTGGCAGAGTTGGAGGCGGTTTTTTGGGACGACTCGTTAAGTTTTCAGTGGATTTTGATTGTTGACTTATAACTGTACAGGGTGTACTGCGACCACTTGTTCTCTCTGATTGTAAAAGATCTTCATTGGATTTCCAACCAGATTTGGCACCAAAGAAATAATTCCCGTCTTTTGGAGAGCGCGGAGATTTCGAAATGGCCTTGGCAATTTCTGTGTATTCATCATCGGTACGATTTTTATCTAAAAATGCATCACGGAATGGATTTTCGCGTTCGATTTCGGTAGGCAACTTTACACTTTCGATAGGTGGAGGTGGGGGACTACGATAGCCACTACTTGAACTGCTTGGCACACCATGAGGTGAAGCTGATCTTGTGGTGGCATGTTGCAATGTTGGCGAATCGATTTCTTTGATACGTGCCACTGTGGGTATTAGAGTTGGAAATTTATCTGGCCGTTTCTTTTCCAACGAGGAATTATTGGAGGATGAAGGACTTGCAGATCTCAAAATACCTTTGCGTGGCATGCGAGCTTTAGAGGGGTTATATTCTTGTTCGGAATCGTAATAGCGAGATGCATAACCTTCAGGAGTACGGGAGCGTTCATAATCTGATTTGGAACGTTCGTCCCCACTCAAATCAAAACTAACCGATTTACGATGATGACCACCATAAGCAGATGATGACAAATCTGGTGTACTTCGTCCTGAGGCTGTTTGAAATTTCAGTTTTTGGGTGTCGCTTTCCGAGTCGCTAGTATATCTGCCAGCAGGTCTTGGTTTTTCAAAATAGTCGGAATCCGTTTCGTTTTGTTCCGTGAGCGTATCCTGTGGGGATTGCACTTCATGTTCAACCTCTTCATCGTCGTCATCATCACTATCATCCTCATTATCATCACTGTCGTTGTCATCATCATCATCGTTGTCGTCGTCGTCATCATCAATTATATAGACTGGTTCAACCTTAACTTCTTCTTTTTCTATACTCTGATTATCGACCATTTGTTTGTATTCAAATCGGGGGTCTCTCGATTTCGTAGCACTTTGCTCCATCTATTTGTTGTTTTATTATTATAAATCCATTTAAAGTTTTTTAATTTTGGTTTAATTTGTTAATTTTTTTTTTTTTTGTGTTTAAAAAGAAAGTGTAAGTAAAAAAATAAACGGTGTAGAATTGTGTCAGTTTTAAAGTTAAAATTTGATTAAATTTCTTAAGTGTTGGGTGTAAACACATAATTTAAACAAAAAGACAAAGGACATTGATTTGTTGTTTTTTGTAGACAATTAATGGTAAATGATCAATGTGATAATTGAAATTTTTGTTTGTGATCAGGAAGTGACTGACGCCCATATTAAGCTGGCGTACGTATCTATTTGATATCTGATTTGTTTGTTTAATTGTGATTGGTGGTGATATTGGAGGTGAAAGAAAAAGATAGTAGGATTGTGAATGAAGAAAAAGCTGATTTATTAAGCCATTTAATTTCGCTAACAATTGTAACAAATAAAACGATGACAAAAACATTGGCCAAGGCCTCAAAAGCCTTGATTTTTTTCCCTGGTTTAATGATTTAAAGACAAAAACTTAAATGATGATTTAAAATAAAGTATAGCTTTATTTATAATTATAATTTTATAATTATAAAAAATAAAATAACGATAATTATAAATAATTATGAGGACAAAAAATTTTTAGAACACAAACAATAAGAAGCCTCTAACACATTTGCTATAACGATAATACAATTTCGTTGTGATTTAATTAAGCAAATAGCAATGTAGAATGGATGAAGAACACAAATACTTATTCAAATCTGAAATTTTAAAGTAAAATAATAGGATATATTAATATAATGTGCCCTATTTATTCATCATCATTTATCAAAGGTTTATAGAACAATTTTGTATGAACATTTGTTTAATAAACTTTCGATAAATGATTACGAATAGGGACCATGCTAAAAAGTAATTTCAATGAAATTTGGCATGTAAAAATATTCAAAATGTAGGTTAGTCTATGTGGAAAGCAAACAATTTAAATACTTTAATATTTCCGATATTTTGCAGAAAGTTTTGAAATATCTAAACAATAGATGTAATGAAGTTATATATTTTAGACGAAGTCCGGCCCAGCCTACTGCAGTACTGTAAAGAATTGAACGGGGTGCTCTTTGTCATTTATTTTTTTGCTGATCGAAATTGGCCTGATATAATTTTTAAGTATTTTTTTCGCGGCGGTAATGATGACGTAAATTCTTACTGCCTTATGCAAAAACGGTTATAATCGTTATATAGTAACAGCCAAGCAAAAACTCGGTAATGGGTTGTACTTCTATAACTACTTACTTTTCAATGACTACTACTTATCGTCTGCATTACTTAGAAGTACTCTGGTAACGATTTTCTTATAATCTGATGTCGAAGTACATTGTTTTCAGTTTTGTCACTTTGTTTGCACATTTTATTTGATTGCGACTTAAGAATTGTGTTTTACAAAAAAGAAAATAAAATTAAATTTGTATGTGAAAAACATTATTTGACGCGCAATAAAATAGCTAAGCAGTGGTGCAGTGAGTAGAACATTTGTCTAACAAACCGAAGTCCCTGGTACGTATTCTAGCTGGTTTTTTTTATTATTAAAATTAAACAACTTACTAACAACTTCTTTGTAAGAGAAATTGAAAGTACTTCTTTAACTCCCAATTTGTAAGCAAGCGTGGAAGTACTTGCCTACAATGACATCACTGTGTTAAAATAATGACTTAAAATGCTAATGAAGAAGCAGTGAAAAGTGGTTTTATTAGCTTTTTAACTCATTACTTTTCAATGTAAGTTTTTCCTGGGAGGTTTTAAAACCATCCCACCAAAAATAAAACGAAGTACATCTAAAAGAATAACTTTTATCACCACTTCAAAAGTAACACTAAGTGATTTTTTTTACCTTTAGTGGAAGTGATGTTTAATGACTTAATATAAATTTTTTGTTCTTTCATTTTTATAAGATAAAAAATGTTATTTTTGTACTTATGTATTATTAAATGTGTAAATTTTCCTAATTATTGTTAATATTATTTAAGTCAAATTACTTATGTTCTATAATACTACAATTTCACTTCCGAATATCATCCAAAAAAGAGCATTAAAATTAAATCTTGAAGATGACTTCAGAAGTAGTGAATTTGGAATCAAATAAAAAGGCCATCCCTCCTATGACAAGCCTGTGTTAAAATAATCACTTCTTCAGGTCGTTTCCAGCACTTCCATGGAGTAAATCCAACTTCTTTTTCGCTTCTTTGGAAGTTCTTTTTTTGCTGGGATTAACTAAATAATAGTTTTTGCGTTAGATTTCCTAAAGCTATGGACCCCTAGGTCCCTGGAACCATTGCTTTAGAGAGCATTTTCTTGTTAATACAAACTTATATTTCACTATGACAAAAACAAACCAAGTTATATACATATCCATATGTATAAGGTGACTGAAATTTGCGGTGTCTTCCTAATACATATTTCTTAAAACATAAAACGAAAGAAGAGTGACATTTAAAAAAACCTATTTAATCTACTAAATTAAATACAAAGTTTTTTTTGAGTTATTTTTTTACATATAAAATCTTTAAGAATGTTTTTATTAAATCCATTTTAAAGTTTTTTTTTTTGTTCTTTTTTTAACTCATCTCTCAATTACATAAAATATACATACATAGAGTTAAATAACATTTAAAACAATTTCATTTATGTGTTTAATTTATTTCATTTTTATATTTTGCAATTAATTAAATTTAAATTCTTTTGGGAAAAGTTTAAATTCGAATATGTATTATTCATTTTGTGTGAGAAATTAAAACAACCGTACAACATATGTAATTATGTATAAATGTGAGAAATTTTTTAAAAATATTCGGTTTTTTTAAATCAATTTTAATTGATATATAAAATTATTTTACATTATTTTTATTTTTGTTTTTAATTGTTCAAGTTTAACCTAAAGATAACAATACAAGACATTTATAAATTTATTTAATTTTTCTTTTTAATATTTTTCAAATATTTGGCAATAACAACAATTTTAGTTTTAAATTTATTTTTTTTAATATTTAAAAATATTGGACCTTTTGATATAGTTTTTTTTACTTTGATAGGACTTTTTATTTTTCTTAATAGCAGTAGTGGTTTTCAAAAGTGTGTTTGTTGTAGTGTTTTTAATTTATTTTTTAAATATTTTATTGTTTATTAACTATTTGTTTAAATTTTAATTAACTATACATTGTATGTTGTAGAAATTTGGAAACCATTTAGAATAAAAATTGTATTTTATTTCTTTTTTTTAAGTTTTAACTATTTTATATTACGAGTATTAATTTGCAGTATTGATGTTTTCTTTAAAGGGACCCATAGTGTTGCAATTGTTTTTTTAGTACAAGTTCTGAGAAACATTTAAGTTGTAGTTTATTTTTTTTAAATTATAACAACATTTAATAAAATTTAATCATAATTTTATTTTAAGGAAAAAATTAAATTGTTTTTTTTTATAATATTTACCACCTAAAAATTATAAACTCTGATTAACTATCTCGCATGGAAATTTTTTTTAAGAAATGTTCGCAGAATAAGAAGAAATAAAATTATTTTTTGAAAACAGGCCTCGGACGACAAGTTTTAAATCAATCTTCATGTGGGAGTGTTGGATATAAAAGCTATAATTTGTATTCTGATTCTTGTTATTCTCCATTTCTATATGATGGTTATGATCTTTCTATATAGATATTAGACCGACTCACAAAAACTGTTGATTGAGTAACCCTTCTCAAAATATACATAAATTGTGATGTCTAGCTCGTGAGCTGGACCAATTTAAATAAATCTTTTTTTTACATTTGCGCCTCAAAATATTTTCGAAATCATAAAACATGTTAAACTTTGAGAGGCATAACAAAAGCAGAAATTGCTTACCATACAGAGCGAATCGGTCTAATAGACATACATACATTAATGTATAAATGTTTATATTTTTTACCGTAATATACATACATTTTTATTTCTTTAAGTTTAATTATGTTGTGTTTATAAATTAATTTTTTATTTAACAGAAAATGCTCTTAATTATGTTTCTTTTCTCCTCCTTTTTAATTTGTTTGTAGTCATGTTAATCCTGCTTGATTTTTAATGAAATTACTTTTGTTGCTTTATTTTCAAAGGACTACACAGAGGAAAAAATATATACACGCCTGGTACCAAATTGACACCGAATTTTTCAATAACATCCATTGTCAAGTATATACATAGATACAACAACAACTTGTAATGTAGACTACATTACATTGCAACAATTCGTCGTCGCAAACTAAACATTATGCACATCCGTTGTCTAAATGTTAACAAACGTGGTAAGCTCACTATTTACAACGCATTTTAAGCTTACCACGTTTGTTAACTTTTAGACAACGGATGTGCATAATGTTTAGTTTGCGACGACGAATTGTTAAGATGTACATATATATATACTTGACAATGGATGTTATTGAAAAATTTGGTGTCAATTTGGTACCAGGCGTGTATATTTTTTTCCTCTGTGTACTACAGTATATTAAATAGAATGTTTCTCTTGTAGTGTCCTAAAAGTATGCAAAGATTTTTATAATTTCGTTTGTTGTTTTTGTTTTAATCAAATCATTTGATTTTTTTTTTTATTTCATTTTTGTTTAAGTTTGTTTTGTCAGTCTTGTTTCTTGTATTTTCAGATTTTAAACCTCCGCTTTATTTAAGCAATTTTCTTTTCTTCATTTGTCTGTAATGAAATTTTTAAGAATTTTTTATTTTAATTTTTATAAAAAAGAACACAATTTTTAAAGGGTTATAGCATCAGAAAAAATGAAAGAGAATAGAGAGAAAAAAAAAAGAAATTATATAAGAAAAAAAGCATTTTAATGAAGCTTTTAGTTATTTCTGATAAATTGCTTTTATGACAAAAATTTTTAAATAATATTTTCAATGCGCATTTCAATTTTGTTTATTTATTTAAGTCAATCTATTTTATAAATGGATGCAATATTAAA